CCTCCCCCCCCCCTCCCCTCAGCTGCTCGAATCGCGCTGCCGGGGCCGACTCTTCCATTCCTCGTTGATATTCCCCTTCCAGGTGAAACATCTCTTCGATGGTGATTCTGATTTTGTTCGCAGTTTGTTCTATCTGAAATTTGAAATTTATCCAACGGGTTTTCGTGCTTCGTTACGATCTTAGGGTTCTAGTGGTGTATTCTCTACCGAGGAATTTGACAAAACCCATTTCCTGGAATTGCAGAACATTTTTGCCCATTTGGTCTGATCTAGTTGTCATGTATGAATACTCCGTTGATTCTGTTCGGGTCGACGTGGTCAATGGTGGGTTCGTCATTCATTCTAGTTTTATTTGCTGAGGCGTTTAAGGATCGATTAGATTCGTTTGTGTTATAGATTAATCCAGATTCAGAAAGTGTCCTTCTTGAGGGGCTATGTTTATGTATAGGATCTCTAATATTGTTCTTATGTTCCCAATGTTGGTTACAACCTCACGCTTATTCTGCTCGTTGAGACTGTAAAGGCTTGTATCTTCCATTGGAATTCAGAGGATCTATATTTTGTATTTTTATCTGGAAAACTCAGTCTTAAACTTGGATTGAGCAAAAAAAATTGTTTGTTGGAACTTTGAGCTTATTCAGTGTGAAGTACATAAGCTATTCCCCGAGGTTTTTAAGCTTGTCTGTCTCTTTGGTGAGTCCTTCAGTTTGCTGCGGACTTGACTGAGTTGTCGGGAACTCACTCTTTGTATGCTTTCTTACCTCTGAATCTTAGTATCTGTTGGCCGAGTTGTGTATGAGCCGTATCTAAGGCAAAACTTCAATATATGCTGAAATATGCTTACCTAACATACCACTAGGAAGTAGACCACATTGATACTACTACGACTGATGCCAACATTTTAGGACCTCCTTAGTTGTACATTGAGTTTGCCTTCTGTTTTTTTTTCCTAAACTTTACTGGAGACCTCCTAAATTGTAAATTTAGATTTCAGACACTGTCTTCATCCTGGTAAAATCTGTGCCGATAACCGTTGTCTCAGGAAGTAAAGATTTTAGTTTTTTTTCTGAGTTGGTCTTGATAGGTTTCCTAATACTGATCTCACTTGCCTGTTTTCTGGTCAAGGGAATCTTTATAGAATGGGTGATTTCTCAATTCAGATCAGTTCAAGACTGATCAGTCAGTTATTGGAGGGCAACAGTCAACAGAAGAGGAAACAAAAGAAAGCCAAGCCCAAAGTCTCACCAAAACCAAAGTCAGAGAGCAAGAAAACGCTCCATGATTCAGAGGCCAAATTGCCGGTGCAGCCACCGTTTTTCCTCCCGACACTGCAACAACCACCTCAAACCGCAGCATATGCAGAGCTCGAAGCGATCAGATCGGTCTTGAAAGAGAGCGAGAAGGTTCTAGAGAAGCTGGAGAAGCAGGAAAAGAACATGGGTCATGAAGTAACAGAGAGAGCCATGGATCTAAGGGACAAGGAGTTCAAGATTCCGTCGCCGAAGCCAATGCCTTGCTCTTTAGAGAACGACGTATGGATGAAATGTTACAAGGAGAACGTCGATGATCCCCTGAAATGCGGCGGATTCGCTAGGAGTTTTGCAGATTGTGCTCGCCGGGTCAGACAGCAAGCGAGTTCTGTTCACAATTAGATGAAATCAAAAGGGTGAAGAAGAAATAGTATTTTTGCTGTGAGGTCTGATGAGTGAATGGTCAGAAGGACAATTACATCACGACCATGAGATTGCTGATCAAAACTTCTAGTTCTGAAACCACGTTCATTATGAATGATATGTTATGTAGGGATAGGATGGTCGATGCAGATTGAGCGCATCGAGTAAGAATAAAGACAACAAAGGAGTCACGTGCAGTGGATAGGGTCCATGACTACATTAATCTTGTCGTCTTATTAAACATAACTATAAAGTAATTAACTGATTGGTGATCCATGGGGGACAGCTTCCGTTGACAAAACCAACGGCAAAAAAAAAAAAAGATCCGATCTAAAAAGGTCTCATCATCCACTCCATGTCCATCATCTTTGTCGATTGATAATCGCCAGACAGTTTCCTCGTTTTTTTTTCCCGTCGACACCATAACCGAAGCCATGCCGTCCACTTCCTTACCGTTTCTAAGTCCGGGAAAGTCCTACGACGCCGTTTTGGTCTTCATCCCTCTGGTCTCCATTCTCTTGTTCCTCTGGATTCACGCCAGAACAAAACGACCGCGGTCGCCGCCGGGACCTCGTGGCTTCACACGTACTTTCACAGTCTTGCCCTAAAATACGGTCCCATCTTCAAACTCCGCCTCGGCGCCAAAACCGCCGTCGTGGCCTCTTCCCCGGAGGTGGCGCGTGAGATCCTCAAGACCCATGACGTCACTTTTGCCAACCATGACGTCCCCGTCGCGGCCCGAGTCAACTCGTACGGTGGAGAGGACGTGCTGTGGTCTCCGTACGGACCACATTGGCGCAAGCTCAGGAAAGTGTGTGTTCTCAAGATGCTGAGCCACGCCACGTTGGACTCCTTCTACGGACTCCGCCGCCGCGAAATCCGACAGAACATCCGGTACTTGTGGGGACGGGCCCGGGCCGGGTCACCTGTAAACCTCGGAGAACAGATATTTCTGACTGTATTCAACGTTGTAACTCAGATGTTGTGGGGCGCGACGGTTGAAGGGGAAGAGGAGAGAGAGAATCTAGCTGCTGAGTTGAGGAGATTGGTGACGGAGATGTCGGAGATTGAGGGTCTACCGAATATTTCTGATTTTTTCCCCGGATTAAGCCGGTTTGATATTCAGGGTTTGGCTAAGCGGATGGGTGGACCGGCCAAGCGGATGGACCGGATGTTTGACCGGGTGATAGATCAACGGCTCAGAACGGTTGGGGATGATCGAGGGGACGGTCAGGATTTTCTGCAGTTCTTGTTGAAGGTGAAGGATGAAGATGAAAAGACCCCTCTTTCCATGAACCATGTCAAGGCCTTGCTCATGGTATTTCACTATCATGCGTTCATGTTCGAATTATCTGCTGCTTTCTTTATGTTGACCGATTGAATTATAGATCCGAATGATAGTCATTTAAATGATGATAGGTTCATAAAAATGATTACAGAGAGTTTATATAGTTGAATTTTTGTTGAATAGAAGATGAATTTATAGGAAGATATTATTCTTAGAATATTATCATTAATATTGTTATGATTTACTCTAGATATTATGCCTAGAATATTCTATTGTATATTGCTATATATTATGATGTATTCTTCTCATTATCAATAACAGTAAAACATTTCCCTATTATGGTATCAAAGCTTCGGTTTTTGCTCTAATTTTTTTTTTCCTTCTCATCAACAATGTCGGTCGAATCCGAAAGCGACGATGAAGATAACAACGATGTACTAAATCCAATAGTATCATCGTCTTGAGTATCGTTTTAAATTTATTTTGCTCTTTTTTTTTCTTCTATTTTTTCCCAACGGCGGTGTTCATCACCGTCAACCCTAGCCGATGTGCTATTTTTTTTTTAACGACGATGTTCGTTTATCGACGTCAACCCTAGCCGATGTGCTATTATTTTTTTTTTCTCTGACGACGTTCGTTTATCGACGTCAACCCTAGTCGTTGTAAGCTCTTTAAACATGGCTATTAGCCTCTTTCGATTAGAAAACTCCGATCGTCGATCCACGTATTTGCGTCACTTATTTTTATTTTCTTCTCTTGTTCCGCTGTTAGACTATCACGCATTATGTGTCGCACTTTTGCGCCCATTTTTTTTCTTTTCTCCGGCCTAGCCGATATACACATCACAATTTTTTTTTTGCGCTGCCGACCTCATTGTCGCGCAACCCAACTCGCGCATATGCGCCGCACACCCGTGCCACATCAGCCTCTGAGAATACAACTCTCAAGCTCTTCAAACGTTATCAAGCAACACCAACTCAAGTCTGGACTACACCACTACATGGAAGATGATTCGTTTAATACGATCACAATTTCAGTTTTTAGTTTTTATGTAACAAGATTGAATTCATCATAGATGATTCATCTTGAAGGGGCATATAGGAAGATATTATTCTTAGAATATTATCATTAATATTGTTATGATTTACCCTAGATATTATGCCTAGAATATTGTATTGTATATTGCTATATATTATGATGTATTCTTCTCATTATCAATAATAGAAAAACATTTCTCTATTAGAATTACCATAGTTCAAGTTACTAAAAAAAAAGTTGAAAGATTTGAATTTGAAAAACATAGAAATTAAAATGCATGAAATTAACGAAGTTGACTTTGTTACCTCGTAATGCTTTTGAACAGGACATGATACTCGGTGGCACGGACACGTCGGCAAACACGATAGAGTTCGCCATGGCCGAGGTTATAAGCAAACCAGAAATGATGAAGAAGGCTCAACAAGAGCTAGACGAAGTTGTCGGAAAAGACAACATCGTGGAAGAATCCCACATTCCCAAACTCCCATACTTACTCGCCCTCATGAAAGAAACCCTAAGGCTTCACCCTACGTTTCCCCTCCTCGTGCCTCGCAGGCCAAGCGAATCCGTCGTCGTCTCCGGCTACGATATTCCTAAAGATTCTTGTGTTTTCATCAACGCGTGGGCTATCCACAGAGATCCGAACGCATGGGAGAATCCGTCGGAGTTCAACCCCGACAGGTTTCTTGAAAACCCTAACGATTTCAGCGGGAATGATTTTAGGTATATCCCATTTGGTTCTGGACGGAGAATATGCGCGGGAATCGCCATGGCAGAGAGGACTGTTCTGTACAATCTGGCCACGCTTTTGCATTCGTTTGATTGGAAGGTTCGAGAAGGAGAAAGGGTCGAGGTCGAAGAGATCTATGGGATTCCAATGAAGCTGAAGAATCCACTTATGGTAATACCGGTGCCCAGGTTGTCTTATCCGAATCTTTATCTATAAAGATAACCTTTGTCTTTGGAGAACGACTAGTATCATTTCCAAATTATAACAGAACATGTACTTCTACTGTACGGAAGATCTGTGCTTTTTTTTTTTGTCTGGTGGGCCTATTTATGTAATAAAATTGGAGGTGAAAATGCATGCCATGTGTGGTTAAGACCGAGAATGCATTGGACGTACATCTAATTTCGGAATGTTTGGTTTATACTTTATTGTCCAAATAATAGTAAATAAGAAATATCATAGAATTTCAAAATGTTATCTAAAAAAAATATAATTTTGTATGGATTCGATTCCATTGCTGGAAAGCGATATAATTTTTTAATCAAAATGATCTATATATAAATCTGATTTTACATCTAGGATAGATATAATCGGATCGAATTTTGTAAAAAAAAAAGTATAATTTTGTAATGCTTTTAAACAAATCACGTACTTTTGGATGCTATCCCAAGTTGCATTATCTTGGACACTTCATTTGTTGTTAGGAAATTACGATTTTGCCATTAATTATATAACTTAAGTTGTTCATTGATTGTAGGAAAACAATGACTTATTCGTTAAGCAAGATTTAGAAAATAAGAAATGATTTGTAAATGTGAACTATATGTTAAAAAGTCAAATAGCATCCTTATCTAACCTTATACCATGATGTGTTCAGTCATTTTCATTCTATGCAATGGGTTCCATCAAATCACATAAGTTAATCCTCTGATTGAGTACAACTTTGACAAATAAATATGATGAGTCGCAAAAAAAAAAAAAAGGATTCTTTTAAAGAATATCTAAAATCGGAACCTTATTGATTCCCATATTAAATTAAATTGGAAGTATGGGCTCAAATAAAGCCCACAAGGCTCATTTTAAATATGGGCTAAAAGTTTGTCGGCCCAAACGCTCCCCTTAAAGGTGCGGATGAGGCTGCTCGGCCCAATTAATTCCTATGTTTGGACGAATGTGAGTAAATGACATTTTATATGTTTCGACTAGAAGTAGAGGTCTATGTATTTGGTTTAGATAGGTTCGATTCGTTCGGTTTTATAAAAATATACAACCGATTATTATATTATATTCGTTTTGGTCCGGTTTCGATTTCAATTCAGTTTATTTCTGTTTTTTATTAAAAAATTAGATTTTTTTAAAGTAAATTTCAGTTTTTTGGATTTAAATTCAATCCTGTTTGATTCGATAGTATAAAATTCAGTTCACCTAAAGAAATAACGTTTTTTGAAGTTGGATACTGTTGGGAAACTGCTTGATTATCGGCTGTTGTATCGAAACGTGCACCCCTGACATGACCAGAAAGATGGGGGCGGCGCATGGGTCATCTTATTTATTTGTCCAAATCAGAAGTTGGACTCAATCAGAGCATTACGTACATGATTTGACGGTTTTTTTTGTTATGCAAGAAAAATCTTACATATGTTTTTTTTTTTCTAATTTTTTTTGGATAAGTATATGATAATAAATTATTGGTCTGAAGACACTAACAAATCTTAAATATGTTTGTGATTGTAAATTTTTTTAAATTCTATATTATGGATGGTAGATTTTCGTTTTTAATCCATACATATATATATCTTTAATCTTGAAGGAATATGTCATTACAAAAAAACAATTCAGATGTATTCTCCCATAAATCTGGAGGCTCTTATTAAAAGCCTGTAGGATACGTATTGAATGTAAAAATCAATATCAAAATTTCATATTCAGAGATAATTATCTAAAATGTTTGGCTGATTAGGAAATTTCAACTCCAATAAGTATTTGGCTAATTATGAAATTTCGTCTGATATTTTTATATTATTGAGCGTGGAAATTACCGACGTCGCAGGGAAATTTATTATTAATAATGATTGTCGTCCTGCTCCGAGCCACATTCAAACCACCACCACCACATATTATACAGTGACATTATTATTATCTTCGTTGATGCAGCGACAAAAATATAATGTCTACATTCACTTCCAAATCTTGTGTAACCATCCACTATATATATATATATATATATATATATATATATAAAAAAGAAAAGACATAGGCTTATGGCCGGGATTTTTTTTTTTTTTAATTTTTAATTTATAGATTTTAAATATTGAATGAATGTTATCCTCTCGAATCTTATCTACGTGGAGCCATAGGCTTCACTCAAATTCAAAGTCTTTTTTTTTTCTCTACAGAATGTAAGATTTTTTTTTTTCATTGCCTAAACAAATGAAAGCGAAATGGAAAGATTCTCCATTTTTAAATAAATGAGGATATATTTTTACCACGATATATTTCGTGGACATCAAGCTTTAGTCTATGTATTTTTTTTTTCTGTCATGTTTTATAATTATTTGAAAATTTTGAAGTGTATATATTTTCAACGATAAATTTTAATCGTTCATATTACTACTTATGCAGGAGAATATATATGTGTATGAAAAATATATAATAGTAATAGTTCTTATTTGATTGAGAATTTTATGGTATCAATAATTTTATAGCATAGTTCTTATACTGCAAACAAGCAATAATATTACGATTAGACAATTGTATACTTTTACAAAAGCAATTTTCTCCGATTTTAACAGATAGAAAAGTTCAATGAATATATTTAAATTTCTAAAACAAATTACAATAGTTACTAGATTGTTATGGCAAAATGTTACATCTTATTGAAATAGTGTGTTTTCCCAATAATGAATTATCGACTAATTCAACATATATTTTTAAGTCTGTTTTTTCAATGAAATGATTACGCAGTATAATAATCGAGCCCAACCTTGAACAGATTTAATTACATTAATATACACCAGCCATTAAAATAGTGCAGTCAGCATCATATTGTACCATTTCTACGACGTAAAACCACCACGGGGGCATTTTACCCAACACCCGTGACTGTATATCCTACGTGACCACAAATAACAGGGAAGACAACATACACACGAAATGTGAAAAATATCCTAAATTCTGGCGATATTTACTATAAATCCATCTCTTCCGACAAGATCGAAGTTCCCATAAACTTCGTACCAGCTTAGAAAAAGAAAAAGAAAAACTCAACACTTCCAATGTCACCGATTTCTCGTGCCTTTGAGCTCTTTGTCGGAAACGATAACTTTTACAGCTTCATATTCGTAATAGTTGCCATCTTCTCCGTTTCTTGGTACATATGGGTCTATTCCAAACCCAAAACTCCGGCGAGTTCGACGCCGTTGCCGCCGGGACCGTGGGGGTTGCCGGTGGTCGGAAGCCTCCCTTTCCTCGACCCCGAACTCCACAGGTACTTCCAAAGCCTCGCCCGAAAATACGGTCCGATTCTCAAACTTCGGCTCGGATCCAAACTCGCAATCGTGCTGACCTCTCCGGCCTTGGCTCGAGAGATTTACAAAGATCAAGACATCAACTTCTCCAACCATGACGTGCCCCTCACGGCACGTGCCCTCACCTACGGCGGCATCGACATCGTCTGGCAGCCGGAGAAAGGCATGCGTTGTTAATCTTCTGAGCCGTTATACGCTGGACTCGTTCTACCATCTCCGTCGACAGGAGGTCCGGAAGAGAGCGAGATATCTATACGAGCAGGCACAGGAAGGGTTACCGGTGGACATCGGGTATCAGATGTTCTTGACGTTGCTGAATCTCATGATGAACATGTTGTGGGGTGGAACAGTGAAAGGGGCCGTTGAGACAGCGAATCTTGGAACTGAGTTCAAACATGTGATCGAAGAATCTGTCAGATTGTTGGGTGAGCCGAATATTTCGGATTTTTTCCCGTGGTTGGCGAGATTCGATCTTCAAGGTCATGTGAAACAAATGCACAGACAAGCCCGAGAACTGGATGAGATATTCAACAGGGTCATAGAACAAAGTAAGATAATTAAAGATGATGGTTCTGGAGAGTGCAAAGATTTCTTGCAGCATTTGTTGAAGTTGAAGGAGGAAGGTGACTCTGAGAATCCCATAACCCTAAAACACATCAAAGCTCTGCTAATGGTAATGCTATTTTCCATCACACGTGAGATTTTACTTACGTATATGCGTGTATATATGTTTGTGTGATACAGAGATATAAAACTAATTATATTGAAGTTTCCTCCTTCCCGTCGCTGTTTTTTTTGTACAGGATTTAGTAATCGCGGGCACAGAAACATCTTCAAACACGACAGAGTTCGCCATGGCACAACTCATAAGCAAACCAGAGATCATGAAGAGAGCCCAACAAGAACTAGACCAAGTGGTAGGCAAAGACAACGTCGTGGAAGAATCTCATATCACCAAGCTTCCGTACATACTTTCCATCATGAAAGAAACCCTAAGGCTTCACCCGACAACCCCTTTATTAGTCCCTCGCACCCCAACTGATACAACCGTAGTTGGAGGCTACGTCATCCCGAAAGGTGCTAGGGTTTTCGTTAACGCATGGGCCATGCATAGAGATCCAAACATATGGGAAAGTCCTTTGGAGTTTCATCCCGAGAGATTTCTTGATAAGGCATATGATTTCACCGGAAACGATCATAGGTTTATCCCGTTCGGGTCGGGCCGCAGAATATGTGCTGGGATAGCCTTGGCCGAGAGGATGGTTCTATACACATTGGCGACGCTTCCCATTGGGGTCGGGCCGCAGAATATGTGCAGGAGTAGCCTTGGCCAAGAGGACGGTTCTATACACATTGGCGACGCTCTTGCACTCGTTTGATTGGAAGATTCCGGAATGAAAAGTATGCGATTTGGAAGAGAAGTTTGGGATTGTGTTGAAGTTGAAGAATCCTCTTCTTGCCATTCCGGTGCCGAGGTTGTCCAATGCCAATCTTTATCTATAAAAGGTTATGATGATTTCGAATCTTTGGCCATGTATGTTCCATGTTATAGTTGTGAAGACATTCATATGTATGATTACAACTCCCTTGAATAAAATTGTTAATCTTGTGAAAAGAGTTTTTTTTTTTGGTGGAACGTTTTTTTTTCTCTCGAAATTTTAGCGAATACTAAAGAGAAGAGTCCCGTTGAATGTGCATCTTCAAATGGAGATTAGGATATGCATTGACAACAAGCAAGGAAACATCAAATCAAATCATATGGCAAATCAATCAACGAATGAATGAAGCAGCCTTAATTAGATATTTCCTTAATTAACCCTACTTATTGTCTGCATTCAATATCATGGTTTTTCATTTTCCATTCGTTTCCATTATTATTTCACAGATTTTTTTAGCTTTAACTGTTAGGACAAGAACGAGTTAGGAGAAACTTTCTAATGCAATTATTAGTACCGCTATATAAGATATAAAATATTTTGTTTTAGTTTTTCGTAAATTTTACAGATTTCAACAAAATTTTAAAAGTACAGTAATACATTTACTAGGAAAAAAATATGGCAATAGTTAATAATTTCTCTCTTCTTATAGAATTCGATATGTAGTTGGAATCCAAAATGTAGTTTGAAGTACGTTTTGAATGAAATGAACGTGGAAATCAAATTTCTAAAACACTTGTAATTTGGACTTCTTATTTGTTGGGGAGAGGGGGGTTGGACATTTTAAAGGCTTATAATTCGAATTCATGTACAATTAATCTAATCTTGACCAAGTTTAACTTCTTTAATCAAAACCTAATGTGATTATACATGACACTCACATACACGTCTGTGTGTGTACATATATATATATAAAGGAAAAGATATATGTTCAAACGCGAGTTTTATACGAGAGATCTGTGTGTGTTTTCGGTACCCAATCTCGCAAATACTAAGGTAATGAAGCACTCGCCATGAACGAGACATAAAACGATGCTATGAAACCAGAAATCCGGACCGCGAGTTCTAGTTCGGTTGTCCAAACCCCAATGGAAAAAAAAAAATTGTGTTTTCAGCAGTGGCGGATCCAGAAAAAAAAATTAACGGGGGCACAATTAAATACGTATAAAATAAAAAAAATTAATAAATATATATCGTCTAAAAAAATATTTATATTTTACAATTAAATGCTACAATTTTTTATTTTTTAAAATCTATACATAACAATTTTATTTGTAAATATTTAAAATATTTTTTTTGATAAAATATATTCACAGTTGTTTTAGATAAATTTTAGTCAATTTCATTAGATTTGAAATATTAAACCCACGAAATGAGTCAATAAAATTTAAAATTATAATACAAATGAACAATTACGAATTTCTCTTCAAAACATTTATTAAATTCTCGGTAAATTTATAACAATATGTACAAATCGATCATTTATGTTATATTCTAACATAAATGATCCATTTAAACTAGACTAGATTAAATAGTCTAAATTTTTTTCATATTTTTTTGGAAAGTTATGATCACATGATTTTCTCTCATAAAATATTTACATCTCATCCAATCTTTTGATTAGTATAATATTCTAACATTTTTTCTATCGATGTGATTTGAAAACAAATAATCCAAATCAATTTGTTCAAACATTAAAAGATTAATTTAAAATTTTGATACATTACTGATTGAATTTTACCGGATGCAAAAAAAATTTAAAAAAAAATTATCTATTAATTTTTCTATCAAGTCAAATATAAAATATTAAGTAAATATTATAGAATAATAAATTAATAAATATGATCAAAATATAGAAAATAATGAATAAAAATAATATTTTTTTTTTAAATTAAAATCACAATATTTATATAATTTAATTCTATTAATTGTTCTGTATTTTTTTGATAATTTTTAGAAAATTATATGTATATACGAAGAAGATAAAAATGTAAAAAATATATATATTACTTAATCTAACCCTAGATTTTAGGAAAGAAAGACTAAATTAAAAAAGTGGGCCCACAAAAAATTGAGATAAGTAAAGAAAAAAATGTTACGGGGGCAAACAAATATTTTGAATGGGGGCATTTATAAATATTATTTAATTATTTTATAGTTTTATGAAGAAACTAATTAAAATTGATGTAATTGAGTGGGGGCATGGGACCCCACTCATCAACACGTAGATCCGCCCATGGTTTTCAGAGTAGGCGAATACATTTATTAGGAAAAAAAATGGTAATAGTTAATAGATTTTAATTTATGTGTTTTCAAAACGCTCAACTAACTAAGCTTAGAAATCAGATTTCTAAAACACTTATAATTTGGAAATTTTATTGGGTGAGGTAGGCGTGTTAAACGTGCCAACACTCGACTCGGCTCGTGTTGAGTTTAGGTTCGTTTTCAAACGAGTTAGAAAAGAAAAGAAGAACAACACAACTAGAAATCTGAACTATGGATTATATTTATATACTTACTATTTTCATGTATTTATAATTACAACTATGTTTATTTTGTGTAAAATTATTAAAAAATAATTAAAATTTACTATATATTTCTCTTTCTCAAAAACTTAATATCATACTAACAAAAAAAAAACTTCAACACTTACAATGTCACCAACGTCTCGGGTTTTAGAACTCTTTGTCGCAAATGAGAACCTTTTCAATATCATTCTCATATTAGTTTCCACCACCTCTGTTTCTTGGTACATATGGGTCTATGTCAAATCCAAAACTCCGGGAACTTCGCCGTCGTTGCCGCCAGGACACCCGGGACTGCCGATGGTTGGAAACCTCCCTTTCCTCGACCCTGAACTCCATAGATGCTTCCAAAGCCTTGCTAAAAGATATGGTCCGATTCTCAAACTTCGGTTTGGATCCAAACTCGCAATCGTGGTGACCTCTCCAGCCTTGGCAAAAGAGATTTACAAAGATCAGGACATCAATTTCTCGAGCCGTGACGTGCCCCTCACGGCAAGTGCCCTCACATACGGCGGCATCGACATGGTCTGTTTGCCGTATGGTCCAGAGTGGCGTACGATCAGGAAGGCATGCGTTGTCAATCTTCTTAGCCGTTACACGCTGGATTCATTTTACCATCTCCGCCGACAAGAGGTGAGAAAAAGAGCGAGATATCTATGCGGACAGGCCCAAGAAGGGTTACCAGTGGACATCGGTCATCAGATGTTCTTGACGATGTTGAATCTCATTATGAACATGTTGTGGGGTGGGTCGGTGAACGGTGATGAGACACCAAGTCTTGGAATTGAGTTCAGACAGGTGATTAAAGAAGCTTTAAGAGTGATGGATGAGCTGAATATTTCAGATTTCTTACCGTGATTGGCGAGGTTCGATCTTCAAGGGTATGTGAAAGAAACGCATAAACAAGCTCGCAAACTAGATGAGATTTTCAATAGGGTCATAGAACAGAGTAACAGAATTAAGGATGATGGTTCTGGAGAGTGCAACGATTTCTCAGCATCTGTTGAAGTTGAAGGACGAAGACTTTGAGAATCCCATAACCATGAATCATATCAAAGCTCTGCTCATGGTAATGTTATTATCCATCATACGTGAGAAATACTTACGTATATGCATGTATATATAAATTTGTGTGATATAGAGATGGACAAAGATATGAACTGAATTATAATGAAGTTTTCTCCTTTCTGTCACTTTTGTATATATAGGATTTGATAATCGGAAGCACAGATACATCCTCAAACACAGTAGAGTTTGCCATGGCTGAACTCATAAGCAGACCAGAGATCATGAAGAGAGCCCAACAAGAAATAGACCAAGTGGTAGGCAAAGAGAACATCGTGGAAGAGTCTCACATCGCCGAACTCCCATACATGTTAGCCGTTATGAAAGATGTTGAAATTAAACTTGATTAAAAAAATCAATTAAATATTTTAGTATGGTTATGAAAATGTGATTAATATGAAAAGTGTGTGAAATGTGATTAATGTGTTAGTATGTGAAAATGTGATGGAATTGTAGTTTGGTGAGGTAGTTAGAAATGTGTAGAATATGTGTGGAAGAAAATTAGGTAAAAATATGTTTAATAAGTGAGTTAGATATGTAGTTAGGTGGGAGATTGTAGTATAAATATGTGTGTTTGTATGGAGTTTGAAATCAAGGAAATTTGAAGAGAAAAACAAAGAGAAAGATTAAGAAAAAACATTACTCTTCTTAAATCTTCAAATCATTTCTTCTTCCAAATATTTCCTAATCTCCTCCAAAAATCCTAAACACTAAATAATCCTCCTCCCTCATTCGAATAATCCTCCCCCTAATCCTACAAAGTGGTATCAGAGCTCGGTTTCTTAAATTTTTTGAAAAAAATCTTGAGAGATTAAAGAGAGTTGTGAGAAGTAATGGCGACTACAAGCTTTCAATATCCCCGTCTAACAAAGACGAACTATGAAAAATGGTGCTTACGAATGAAGGCTTTGCTCGACTACAACGAAGTTTGGGAGATTGTGGAGAAAGGGTACGAGAAACCCGAAGATGAGGAGTCTTTATCGCAACCCCAAATGAAGGCTTTGTCCGAGTCAAGGAAGAAAGATAAGCATGCTCTCACTCTCATTCATCAATGTTTGGATGACGAATTACTCGACAAAGTTTCTCATGCCACTACGTCAAATGAGGTATGGAAGATTTTAGAAAAATCTTTTCAAGGCGTAGAGAAAGTAAAAAGGGGGAGAGTAAATTCATTAAAAGCCGATTTTGAAGCATTAACGATGAAAGAATCCGAATCGGTTTCGGATTATTGTTCAAGAGTGAAGTCAATCGTAAATCAACTGAGGATTTACGGGGATAAAATAGAAGATACTTCTGTGGTGGAAAAGATTCTCCGATCTTTAACACCAAAGTTTGATTACAAGGTGTGTGCTATAGAAGAGTCTAAAGATGTAGACTCGATGACAATAGAAGAATTGGAGGGAAGTTTGATAGCACATGAAGAAAAATTAAACCGAAAACAAGGAGGAACATCGGAAGACACCAATTGCTTTCTGAGAAGATGTGGCTGCGCTTCTTGCCAGGGAACTTGGAGGTAACACATTACTTACAGACGATTTCTTGGGTTCCATACCTCACGAAATGTTTATGTGACATTATACTTTTGTCAAGAATTTAAAGTTATTGCAATAACTGTGTCCATATTCATATGCTTTTCACTGTACTTATGTATGAACATCACCTGTTCCACACACATTCTGCATCTGAGAGATTACCTTCCCGAAACATTGATGCAGAAATTATAGATGATAGCCTCGAACACCCTCTTGAAGAAGCCCGAGATCCTTGGGCGGGAAGACGAAGAACGAAGAACGAAGCACGAGCGGTTATGATAGCCAAAGCAATGCTGGCCCATGCTCAAGATTTTGATCACTCATCTGACAACTCAGGGTACTGCATATGCTTTCCTCTCATTCCCTTTGCTGTTTCAGTGCTTTTGGAAGGTTCTAGACCAAATCATACAATCCAAATGACATTCCAAGTAATTCCTTTGATTCCTATACGTTTATATGCCTTCTTAGCTTGTATATGACTCATCCATTGAACACTTTATGTCATCGCTGATCATAAAATCAATTAGTTGCATATATTTTGACATTTTCCCTCGAAATTGTGAAGAAGCACAGCAGCAGAAGATAGAGTGAAGATTGCAGATATTAGCTGCCGAGGTCCTTCCTTCTTTGAGCAACCGGAGACTGCCCAAAACAAAACGCCTTGAGAGCATATGAAGGCTAGGTGAAACAAAGGGAATTATGAGACAAAGCTCACACACCAATCAAATGATTAAGGGAAATTACTTTCTTTGATGGTGAATCAGCAACATATTCTAGCCGTTAACTTCGAACTCAGGCAAGGTTTTGGGTAATCAAATGATTTGGGGAAGACTGATTCCCCCAAATCCAGCAGATTTTTATCCCTTTTGATATAAAAAGCACGTGTACCTTTCGCTCCAGGATCTGTTGAAATTAAACTTGATTTTAAAAATCAATTAAATATTTTGGTATGTTTATGAAAAATGTGATTAATATGGAAGATGTGTGAAAATGTGATGAAATTGTAGTTTGGTGAGGTAGTTAGAAATGTGTAGAATATGTGTGGAAGAAAATTAGGTAAAAATGTGTTTAATAAGTGAGTTAGATATGTAGTTAGGTGTGAGTTTGTAGTATAAATATGTGTGTTTGTATGGAATTTAAAATCAAGCAAATTTGAAGAGAAAAAAAAAATTCATTTTACCATGGTATTAGACGCTCATTGACATGTCCAGGAACGCCACAACAAAATGGAGTCGCTGAAAGGAAGAACAGGACCATCCTTAACATGGCACGAAGCATGCTGAAGACGAAGAACATGCCAAAGGAATTCTGGGCAGAAGCTGTGGCTATGGCGGTCTATTTATCAAATAGATCTCCATCCAGAAGTGTAGTGGGAAGAACACCCCAAGAAGCTTGGAGTGGAAGAAAACCAGGGGTGTCACACCTCCGAGTATTTGGGAGTATTGCCTATGCACGTATTCATGATGAGAAAAGATCAAAGCTTGATGATAAAAGTGAAAAGTACTTATTCATCGGCTATGATCAAAACTCAAAAGGATACAAGTTGCATAACCCAAATACTGGAAAAACCATTGTGAGTCGTGATGTGGAGTTTGATGAAGATGGAGAATGGGACTGGAACACTCGCAATGAAGACTATACATTCCTTCCCTACATAGAAGAACAAACGGAGAATGAGATTGAAGAACCCACAACGCCACAAGATCCATTATCACCATCATCATCGGACGAAAGCTCAAGTGAAAGAACGCCTCGATTCCGAAGCATTGAAGATCTATATGAGGCAACTGAAAGGCAAGATGATCTTACTCTTTTCTGTCTTTTTGCGGATTGTGAACCTAAGAATTTTGAAGAAGCTGTACAAGATGAAAGGTGGAGAAATGCCATGGATGAAGAGATCAGGGCCATTGAGAAGAATGATACATGGGATTTGACCTCACTTCCAAAAGGCCACAAAACGATCGGAGTAAAATGGGTATACAAAGCAAAGAAGAATGCCAAAGGGGAGATCGAAAGATACAAAGCAAGGCTGGTGGCAAAAGGTTACAGTCAAAGAGAAGGGATCGACTACGACGAGGTATTTGCACCTGTAGCTCGTCTTGAGACTGTAAGATTGATCAGTAGCAGCTACATATTCAGCTTCACATGTGGAAAGCGTCACTATGGGTTGCTTCTTCGATGACCAAGTGAAAGCAGAGCTTCCAACAAAAAATACAAATCCAGTGGTGCTCTTTCGATCATCAACATCTCCAGCCCAATCACTGTCACTGTATCCATGTAGCTCAAAATTGTTAGTTGATGAGTACGATAAACCAAGAGCGATGGTACCTTTGATGTATCGAAGGATCCTTTTTGCCATCTTCAAATGAGTTGTTGTCGGAGTCTCCATGTAACGACTGACAAGTCCAACTGCGAACAGAATGTCGGGTCTCGTGCAAGTGAGGTACCGAAGACTTCCAATCAGACTCTTGAAGAATGTTGGATCAACAGTATCTCCCTCTATTCGAGATGACTGATATTGGGTTGATGGCGTATTATCTCGGAATCCAAATCAAGCAAGAAGAAGATAAGATTTTCATTTCTCAAGAAGGGTATGCCAAGGAGATTTTGAAAAAGTTCAACATGGAGAATTGCAAGTCGATAAGTACGCCAATAGAATGTGGTGCCAAAGTATCAAGATATGAAGAGGGAGATACTGTTGATCCAACATTCTTCAAGAGTCTGATTGGAAGTCTTCGGTACCTCACTTGCACGAGACCCGACATTCTGTTCGCAGTTGGACTTGTCAGTCGTTACATGGAGACTCCGACAACAACTCATTTGAAGATGGCAAAAAGGATCCTTCGATACATCAAAGGTACCATCGCTCTTGGTTTATCGTACTCATCAACTAACAATTTTGAGCTACATGGATACAGTGACAGTGATTGGGCTGGAGATGTTGATGATCGAAAGAGCACCACTGGATTTGTATTTTTTGTTGGAAGCTCTGCTTTCACTTGGTCATCGAAGAAGCAACCCATAGTGACGCTTTCCACATGTGAAGCTGAATATGTAGCTGCTACCTCATGTGTGTGTCATGCTATATGGCTCCGAAATCTGTTGAGGACGGTGAATCTGGTGCAAGACAAGCCTACCAAAATCTACGTCGACAACAAATCAGCATTGGCACTGGCGAAAAATCCGGTCTTCCATGATAGAAGCAAGCACATTGACACTCGTTATCATTACATCAGAGAGTGTATCGCAAAGAAGGAGGTGGAACTTCAATTTGTCAAGTCTCATGATCAGATTGCAGACATCTTTACGAAGCCATTGAAACGAGAAGATTTCGAAAGGATCAGGAGCGCGCTCGGAGTCACCAAAATCAAGTTTACGGGGGAGTGTTGAAATTAAACTTGATTAAAAAAAATCAATTAAATATTTTAGTATGGTTATGAAAATGTGATTAATATGAAAAGTGTGTGAAATGTGATTAATGTGTTAGTATGTGAAAATGTGATGGAATTGTAGTTTGGTGAGGTAGTTAGAAATGTGTAGAATATGTGTGGAAGAAAATTAGGTAAAAATATGTTTAATAAGTGAGTTAGATATGTAGTTAGGTGGGAGATTGTAGTATAAATATGTGTGTTTGTATGGAGTTTGAAATCAAGGAAATTTGAAGAGAAAAACAAAGAGAAAGATTAAGAAAAAACATTACTCTTCTTAAATCTTCAAATCATTTCTTCTTCCAAATATTTCCTAATCTCCTCCAAAAATCCTAAACACTAAATAATCCTCCTCCCTCATTCGAATAATCCTCCCCCTAATCCTACAAAAGAAACTTTAAGGATTCACCCGACATTCCCTCTAGTATCCCCTCGCTTCCCAACTGATACCACCGTAGTTGGAGGTTACCTTGTCCCAAAAGGTACTAAGATTTTCGTTAATGCATGGGCCATGCATAGAGATCCAGACATATGGGAAAATCTATTGGAATTTCATCCCGAGAGATTTCTTGATAAGGCATATGATTTCAGCGGAAACGATCATAGGTTTATCCCATTGGGGTCGGGCCGCAGAATATGTGCAGGAGTAGCCTTGGCCAAGAGGACGGTTCTATACACATTGGCGACGCTTTTGCACTCGTTTGATTGGAAGATTCCGGAAGGAAAAGTGTGTGATTTGGAAGAGAAGTTCGGGATTGCGTTGAAGTTGAAGAATCCTCTTCTTGCCATTTCGGTGCCGAGGTTGTCCAATGTCAATCTTTACCTATAAAGGCTATGATCGATGATTTCGAATCTTTGGCCATGATTTGCGTTAGAGTTGTGAAGACACTCGTATATACAATAAAAACTCTCTTGAATAAAGTTGTTAATCTTGTGAAAAGAGTTTTCTTTTGTTGTCCCGTTGCGCCATTCACTTGGAAACGATCTTCAAACAACCATGGTAATAGTTACGTAAGATTGTCTGATATATATGTACCCTTAAATATCTATGCAAATGGGTTATGAAACTATACAGAATTCAATCTCATCCTTATGTTTTCTACAACATGTATCCTATCTGAATATAAATTTACATACATGTCTTCGCCGTCTTTGCCGAAGAGAAGTTTGGCATTGCATTGAAACTGAAGAATCCTCTCGTTGCCATGCCCGTATCAAGGTTGTCCAAACCCGTATCTTTATCTATAAACCAATGTAACAAATAAAAGTTCAAAGATGATTTGAAAATGTTACCCTTGTTTCTAAGTAGTAACAGGTTATGAAGTGATCATATATATGTATAAGATAACCACTACTTGGATAGAAGCTATTCATATATCATAGTTTATGAAATGTACAACCACCCTTTCTCTTATTTTGCTTTCCTGATTCGAATTACGTAAATGCCATGTTTTTTACGACAACGAACTAGAGAGACACATGTTTTGTTAGGATGATACGTTCGTTTCTGCATCCTCCATCTTTTCTCAACCAGGGATAGCATCAGATCTACAGACAGGGAGGTCCTGCTCGAAGTTGGGAGCGACACGAAGGATCGGATTGCGCTCAAAGAAATTCACGGGTTTCAAATCGAAACTCGAGGAAACAGTGGGCATTATGGGGAAATCTTCTTGGCATGGTATGTGATGGAAGCCTAGCGTGTACCACACCACTATGTCCTTGTTCTCTATATCTCTATCCCTGCATCGTACCCCACAAAGCCAAAGCCTCGCAAAACATCATAACAATAACAATAACTATATCTTTTTGGATTAATTGAAGAGAAAATTTATAATGGTGACTAACCTGTCGGACCAAACTGCGAGAGTGTCTTCACCCTTGCTTTGGTAAGTGAACAAACCGCCAGCCCATTGCTCGGACTTATTGTACGGAGTGACCCAAATCTGGTTATTGGTGAAGCCTCCTCTCTTCTGTGGCGGATCGTCATGGTCAAGCAGACTAGCTGCCGTGCCACTCGGGACAACCTTGTACCCTGTCGGGTTCCCGACCCGTGTGGTTTTCCCTGCGTTTATGACGTGAAACTCCGACGGGTCGTACAGTTTGAGCTTGATCTGGCCGTCTTTCTCCGTCTTTGCCACATTCCTCACTGCCTTCAAGTAGCTCTTTCTCGGAGATTCTCCAGGCGATGTCTCCTCTTTCTTGAGGTTCACCTGTCCATTGGATGTGCCCGATCATCTTTCTTGGAATTTAGACATTGTGAATATATATATAGGAGCTGTTTACCGTCAAAATGGTCCGAGATCTTGTTAATGTCCTAAATTTGGTACCTTGACAAAGGAGTTGTTGGAGCCGTCCACGTCCAAGTCGAGGTGAAAGGTGACGAAGTGGTCGTGGATGACTCCGATGACATTTTCCGACAGAAGCGTGCCGTGGAGCTCTTCTTGTTCTTTCACTTGGTTCTTGTTCTCGTACGCTGTCCCTTTCACCATCAGGATCCCACTAAGCCCTACCTGTCATCGTCGCGTTGGATCGTGTCACCGGATTTGGACAGAATGCGTTAGTGGCCACTAAAATATAAGACAAAATAAAGAAAACACCTAATGCCGTATGCAACCAAGTAAAGTTGAAATTGGTGCGTAACCAAAATCAATTGACTTTAAATAATTTTTAAAAAGACACATACCTTAGCTCTGATAAGCCCATCTGTTTGGAACTCCCAATCAATTATGTAATCATAATTGGCCACCGACGCCGCCATTCTTACCACTAACGTCACCTTTGGTCTCACCTCTCTAATCTGTATCAAATATCATACCCCCAATGTTAGTCAAACTTCCCTGAATTTGTAATTAGACCCACAACTTGGTCTCCCAATTATTTTCTACCCCTTAAGTTTCTATCCTTTCAGAATGGACCTCGCAGCATCGTCTAAAGGTCTAAAATAATGTTTAATTATTTGTATTAATCACTAAAAGGAAGTAATATCCAAATAATTTACTTACCGGCAAGCCAGTGATGGGGCTCTCGGAGTGGCGCCAAGCAATATCGCCGGCGTAGCTCTCGAAAACGCAGACCATATTCTCCCTCACGTAAGGCGTCCCGTCCGCCGCCGTGAAAACTCCGTCCATGTACTCCGCGTTCCTCGGACAGTCATTCAGCGGCACGAGCGGCATGGCCTGTAGCCCGAACCCATACTCTCCCGCGTCCATGTACGTCTTGAAGTACCACGCATCGGTCGGGTCCATGTACGGCACAAACAATTCCGACACGAACCCTTTGTACATCACTTCACGTAGCTCCCTTGTCTCTGGATCACGAACCCTGGCCCTGGATATGACCACCCCGGCTCTCGGGTCGGGTTTTAGGTGAAATTCCCAGTTTGCCCATCTCACGAGATGGCCATCCTCGATCACGAAGCTCGGTCCACGCGGCTGCTCTATCGATATCGGGTTTAGAAGCCGGGTTTCTTCCGGATTCGAGGCTCTTGCGTAACGGTAATCCGTGTTGGTTGATCCGGGTACGGGTATGACCCGACCCGTGTCCGAGATCTCGATCACTTCCATTGTGTCTAAATCGAGAAGAACGGTCAAACCTTCTATGGGTCTCATGTAGAAATTGGCCGTACCTTGGGACGAGTAGCACTGTACCTTCATCACCCTCCGGTTTTCCTCGCTTTTACCGAACCAGCCACTGGATAAAGGCAGGCAAGCCACGTCCGACAGATCCACGCCGCGAGAGACGATCGTACGGTTGAAATCCGCGCTGGAGAAGGGAGCCCATGTGGCGTCGTTCATCTCCTCCAGGGTCATGGTCGGGAAACCCGACCCGCGACCCGGACCCTCCACCTCCTCGACCCGACCCGATGATAGGTCAACGATCAACACGTGATAATCAACGCCCACACGTGCGATGACGGAGGCCTTCCTCGGCGGGAGTGGGTCCCCCTTCTCCCACTTCTTGACGAGGTTCTTGTCGGGCTCCTCCAGCACGACCGAGTGGAGCGCGTGCGGTGCACGTGAGGAGAAAAGCGCGTGGGTGGAGAGGAGAGACTTGACTCTGTTTATCTCTCCGACGGTGAGCGGGTCGAGTGGGTGCCTGGGGACATCAGAGACGTGGTCACGGCGGCGCGTGGGGTTTGTTGTAGGGCCGTTCTTTGTATTGGGTCGATGTTGTTTCTTGAAAAGGAAGTTTCTTGATGCGCAAATCGGCGAGGAGGAGGACGCGTCCGAGCAGTCAAAAAGAGCCGCCGTTGACGGCGGCTCCGGGGGGGATCTCCTCCAGGGTCATGGTCGGGAAACCCGACCCGCGACCCGGACCCTCCACCTCCTCGACCCGACCCGATGATAGGTCAACGATCAACACGTGATAATCAACGCCCACACGTGCGATGACGGAGGCCTTCCTCGGCGGGAGTGGGTCCCCCTTCTCCCACTTCTTGACGAGGTTCTTGTCGGGCTCCTCCAGCACGACCGAGTGGAGCGCGTGCGGTGCACGTGAGGAGAAAAGCGCGTGGGTGGAGAGGAGAGACTTGACTCTGTTTATCTCTCCGACGGTGAGCGGGTCGAGTGGGTGCCTGGGGACATCAGAGACGTGGTCACGGCGGCGCGTGGGGTTTGTTGTAGGGCCGTTCTTTGTATTGGGTCGATGTTGTTTCTTGAAAAGGAAGTTTCTTGATGCGCAAATCGGCGAGGAGGAGGACGCGTCCGAGCAGTCAAAAAGAGCCGCCGTTGACGGCGGCTCGTGGGAGAAGTTTGTAGTCGTGAAGACGAACACAAAAGCCGCCGTGACGAAGAGAAGAAGAAAGCGAAAGAAACTCTTTTGCTCCATGGCTCCTCTCTCTCTCTGCGTTTGCTGTCTCCGCCGTCACCGTCGCCGGAGATATTTGTGTAAGTGTGAGGGTTGCTGAATGCAGAGGTTGTCTTATTATATAAGAGAAAAAAACAAAAGCAGATGAGCCACTAAGCTAAAGGAGATGACAACGTCTAAACAAGACAAGAGAAAATTATCTTAAATATTGATTTGTCTGAAACCCCCTCAAAGGCTTATTTGGAGCAAATTGAGATCACTTCCATCTTCGACCACAGACAAAATATTAGTGGAGCTTTTCTTTTCTTTTTTCTCGTGGGGAAGAGTTTCTAAGAGTGGAACCATATCTATATATTGATTATTAATGCATGTTTCCCAAATTGAAAATCGTTTCTACCATTACCAAACAATCTATTTGCGTCAATTTCTGTGCATTCCAATAACATTTCTCCATGATTTGGCTATCAGCAAATTTTTTTTGGCCCAAATATATTAAATCTGCGTCAAGAGAGAGAATCTCGTTTTGGTTTTTTGTAGAAAAAGAATATCTTTACCCGATAGATGCACGTGAAGTGAATTGATCTGGTATCGAACTTATCAATAAAATTGTATGCTACGAATTCCATGTAGGGGAAATGCATGTGGCGGAAATCATCATGATTTGATTAAATTCAGCAAGGAATTAAATGCATTAATTTAAATAAATTTGGTTATAATAAATATATAACGGTGGACATTAAGTAGGCTCATGTGATATATGACATACATATATGCGTGTGGGGACTTTACGGGCTCTATAATTGGGCTTAATCTATGGTAAATGGGTTTAGCATCTTCTACTACACTGCTTAAATCCAATCACAGTTTCATCTGTACAGGGTTTTTATAACGTGAAAGCATCATTATACTATCGACCATTGAATTGTAAGCCTTTTGATCTTATCTGTAGTGGTAATTAATTCATCGGCTAACGATGATATTCATACTAAGGACGTTTTAACAAAAAAAGAGATCCAGTAACAGGAAAATATATATATTTTTTACCTCAAAGACCAATTACTTCTTCTCTTCTTTCCCGGCCTCGGCAGCTCTCTTAACTCTGGCATAGACATGACGTTCGATCGTACGCTCTAGACGGACCTTGTCATAAGCCTTGAATGATGTCATGCCCTCTGCAACCTTCACAAACTCCAATGCCGGCTTCTCCCTCACAATCGGCATGTATACTTCTTGCATCTGGGAGGTGTTCGCAAGCTCCTCCGCAGCAGAATCTCCAGCCTGTTCAAGAAATTAATAACCGGGTTTTCATGATATGGGTTGGTATAATGTACCGAGTAATAGCAAGTGTTTAAGACAGATACATTGACTTTGCGGGTACAGTGGGGGAAGATGACCAACTTGGCCTTGTAGGTCTTCAGCCTCTGGACATTGGTCTGAAGTCCCTCCAAGGAACGGTTCTTGCGTCGGTGATCGACCACTATACCGATAGTCGGGGCCAGCTTCTTGGGGACACCTGCAGCCTGTTACATTGTTACAGAATTTCAAAGATTAAACCTTGACAAGGCTTGAGCATCTAAAAGTAGGAAAAGATGAAACAAACCATGAGTTCTTCAAGGGTAAATCCTCTTCCGGCTCTAACTTTCATGTTGTACTTGAGGGTTTGTCCATGCACAACAGGTCGTAGAGGTCCAGCAGTGGGTCGGGGGAATATCTTCACAGCCTTCTCCTGTCTCGCTGCGAGAGGGAAAAGAACGGATCACAGATTGATTTATGGTGACAAGTTAGAACCAGAAACAGGACAACTCACTCACCGATCCTTCTCCTGGTTTTCCGGGCAGGCTGGTTGAACCATGTCTTGACATAATGCTGCCAATGCTTCTTGAAGTGCCCATTGGGGATAACGTTGTTGTGCTTCATTTCAACTGGAAAGCGCCGACAAAGGATGTGAGATAGGATTCATACAAATACGAGATCAGTTAATAGAAATAACACATCGCTCAACACGGGAAATATCATAGATTGAAATGTTGTGACAAAGATAGACCCTCTGGAAATATACAGATTCAGTATCACAAAGTGATTTTGTGTATGTGTGTGTGTATATATATATATTGAACAGCCGCAGCCTCACAGAATCCGTTAAGCGATCACAGAGGCTCGCTTCTTAAACCCTCCTCCATAAATATATATATATATATGTGTATAAAACAGGGGTCAAATTGGGCGCGCGCGGGGACTTTATGGGCTTTATAATTGGGCTTCATCTGACATTGGTTTGGATCGAACGTTGGACGAAGCCCACTCGGCCCAGTGTTTGTAATTGCTTTTTTTTTCTTTTGTGAGCGATGAAATTCGTTTGTTTTATTCACGTCATCAAATATCACTAACACACACACGCACATATATATATATATATATATATATATTCAATACATAAATATAATTCCATCCGTGTGTCTGCATGCATATGTGTTGCTTGGAATTGAATCATTAGAATTCATTATGATAAATAATGGTTAAGTTGGTAGGTCCTTTTAGGTTTCACGTACATTTTTTTTTGTTAAATAATTTTAACATTGTTAAATGCAGGAGCCTATATAACTTAGATTATAAAACAAGACATCTTCTTTCCTCTCTTTTTTTCCCCCTTTATTATCTCTCTTTAATTTAATATTCTTAAATAATAAAACTAGGTTGCTTAGAAACGTGGTGTATTAAATTAAATAATTAATATAATGGTTAGAGAGAGAGAATATGTGTAGGCTTTGAATGAGTCAAAATGTTTCTAGTAAATTGGACCAATTCGCAAACACGATTGTCATCTACTCGCCCCCTACTCTTAATATATATATATATATATATATATATATAAGAATAATTCCTTAAAATGCAGTTAATTAGCACGTTTATGATACATTAGGGTTTATAAACAAATTGAATTTGGCATGAATGTTTTGCTCTCTTTCCTTTTTTTTTTTGCGGGTAAATTGTGGGAGTGGTTTTATTTTCATTTTCGGGAAAATTGTGATAATATTGCTTGAATTGTAATTATCTAACATATGTGTTCGACCGTAATCTTGCATCATGCGCATATTTTTCATTCGTCACGGCGTTGATATTATTTTTATTATATATATATATATATACATACAGATAATATATATGGAATAAATTGTAACATTTCTTATAAAACATGGTAACAATTTTATAGAGATCTCCCACAATGAGGCCAGAAATTAATAATTTTACGAAACCCGATTTGCTTTAATTACGAGTAATTAATCAGCTCGAGGAAATAATCGATCATAACATTAAAAACTTTAAACAACCATAGTATACACATAATGTTTTGTTTAATATTGGTAATAAAATTATTTAATATTTTGAAACGGGTTATAGAAAAAGATTAACTTCTTGTTATGGTCCTCCTCGCTACCAAAAGCATCAAGAATATATATATATATATATATATATATATATATATATAAATACCAAATTTCACCGAATTAACAAATTAAATCATTTAAGAAATGAAAAGGAATTTTTTTCCTCTGGATATATAGTATTACGCGTGTTAGAGGACTGAACAGAATATTTAAGACATTAAAAACTAAATTGTACAAAGGAAATCCAAAAAATCTAAATATGAAACTTTGACAAAAAAAAAGCATTATGGAAAATGAAAAGAATTTCATTTTTAAGGTATAAACTAACTATAAAAGCGGCATAATATCTTTTACAGCTCATAAAAGTGCAATTTCATAAAAAAAAATATATAATATAAATAAACAACAACCGAATGGAAATGTTTTACCTTTTATATCTTCCTTCGTGAGAAAAAAAAATCTCTTTTTTTGAATAGTACTATTTGAAAATTTTTAATTAAAATGAAATTCCGAATATGTAATTGTAACTCGTCCAATAAAAATTTAAAATCATTATGAAATTCTATTATAAAAAGCACATACACATACGTCCCTTGTTGAATTTTCATCCTCATGATAACACAAATGCTGGTTTTTGGATCAAGTAGTCTAATACACAAATTTACATTTCTTCAACATTGCATCATATCATATGACATTCATCCGAACTCATTACTGCAACCAATCCTCAAGCTACATACAATGATTTTCCAAATCACGTATTAGTATTAATTAATTTTATATGCTGAATTATAAAAATTATAAAATCAATTAAATCGAAATCCGATATGAAAACAGAAAGGAAATATCATTTGTGTATTATATAGAGTGAGAGAAAAGGGAAAATGAAAATAAGGAAGAAGATCACAGAAGAGGAAATCCACTAAGTATTCTTACAACTGTCAAACAAATCGTTCATGGATTTTTCCTTGTAAACAAACAGTATTCGTCTTCTTCTTTCCCCGGAACTCCTCTTTCCCGGAAATCCCTCACTTGATTCCCATATTTTCCTCCTCAGTGGAATCAAACCCTAACCCTAATCGCCATTCTCTCCGATCGTTTCTGGGTCAGTCTCCGATTTCGAATCCGCCGGCGAAATGTCCCACCTTGATGCCCTCCCGTCGACTCCGGGCAAGTACAAGACCGAAAAAGCTCCTCCGTACGGCGTCTTCAGCCAACAACGCTTCCTCCGCCTCTCGAAACTCACGCTCTGGTCGTCTCTCTTCCTCGTGCTCTTCCTCTTCTACCTTGTTCTTTCGCCGCCGCCGTCTTCCTCCAGCCGGAATCTCAACAAATCCTCTTCCTCTGTGTCCCCCGCTACTTACGGCGGCTCCCAGTGGGAGAAGCAAGTCCGGAAATCGGCGCGGCCGCGATCACGCGGCGGTCTTACGGTTCTGGTCACCGGCGCCGCCGGATTCGTCGGTACCCACGTGTCGATTGCGCTCCACCGACGCGGCGATGGCGTTTTAGGGCTCGACAACTTCAACCACTACTACGATCCGAAGCTGAAACGCGCGCGGCAGGGGTTGCTGGAGCGGACCGGTGTGTTCGTCGTTGACGGCGACATAAACGACGCTGTTTTGCTCCGGAAGCTCTTCGACGTCGTCCTCTTCACGCACGTAATGCACTTGGCGGCTCAGGCCGGCGTGCGTTACGCGATGCAGAACCCAGGTTCATACGTCAATAGCAACATCGCCGGTCTCGTGAACCTTCTAGAAGTTTCGAAATCGGCGAATCCGCAGCCGGCGATAGTCTGGGCATCGTCTAGCTCCGTCTACGGCCTCAATTCCAAAGTGCCCTTCTCGGAGAAAGACCGTACGGACCGGCCTGCGAGCTTGTACGCGGCGACGAAGAAGGCAGGTGAGGGAATTGCCCATACATATAACCATATCTATGGATTATCGATCACTGGGTTGAGGTTCTTCACTGTTTATGGACCTTGGGGTAGACCAGACATGGCGTATTTCTTTTTCACCAAGGATATTCTCAAGGGCAAAACCATTAACGTGTTTGAATCGCCTGATAAGGGTAGCGTAGCTAGGGATTTCACCTACATTGATGATATTGTGAAGGGTTGTTTAGCTGCATTAGATACTGCACAGAAGAGTACAGGGGGTGGAGGCAAGAAGAAAGGTCCTGCCCAGTTTAGAATCTACAATTTGGGGAATACCTCTCCGGTTCCTGTAACAAGGCTTGTGTCAATTCTTGAGAAGCTCCTGAAAGTGAAAGCTAAGAAAAAGATCACGCCTTTGCCGAGGAATGGGGACGTTGAGTTCACTCACGCTAACATCAGTTTGGCGCAGGCCGAGCTCGGGTATAAACCCACGACCGATCTCGAGACAGGCCTGAAGAAGTTTGTCAAATGGTACTTGAATTTCTACACCGGCTCAAAGAAGAAGAGTTCTTGGTGAGATTCTGAATCAGTGGAAGAGATGTTTCTGGGTCTTAGTTATGGTTCTGCTTCCCTTTCCTAAAAGGTTGTCTCAACAGAAGCTATCAGACATATCTTCATTGTTTTTGCATTGGCACACTTTGCTTCATTTTTTTTCTCATGGGTTGGTAGATTTTGAGCATTGTACAGCTTTATGAACGTGGGAAGACATCGGTGTTTCAATTGTTTGAACCCAGTCTTGTCGTTTTAGACCCATCTCCAATGAATAAATTAGCCAACTTTGCTGCAGTGCAGATCACTTTCTGCATAGTTTCGGTGTGGTGCCGAAATCTGAAAGAGTGGAAATTTGTGTCGTTTCTCAATTTGAAAGTCGATGCCGAAGAAGAGATGAGGATGAAATTCGCAAACTTTCCGAAGTTCCAACAAGTATTGAGACGAGATTGCAGATAATGTATGTTCCATAAAACCCATCTTTAGAAACTTTTCTCCCAAAAGTGGAACTTGGAACAGACGGAAAAAACACAACACCTCTCTTGCTTTTGTCTTGCAGCTTTAACCTTACATAAAGGTAAACACAAGGGGGAACAAGAACACCAAAAAGAGTTTGAAGGTTTCTACACCAATTGTCTGGACATAAAGCCATGAACAAATGTACAATAACACAATGTGAAAACCACGTATGGAGCAAAAACCTCACCAGAGATCTGCAGTAGTATGATCCCGGAAGCTGTTATGGCCTCGAGGTTCCCCATTGACGAACTTGGGAACTGAAAGCTTTTACCTTTGAGATCGACGGGGTCAAATGCCATGGCGGTGGGTAGCGGCGGGTCATCGGAGCTTCCAGAACTTTCTGGAAGAATAGGTGGTTGGCTTGAAGATGACGGGCTCTTCTCAGAGCTGGGAGGACTGTTGCTATGGTCTCCCTCCTCACTGTTCTTCTTCTTCTTCTCGCTCTGGCTGCCATCTGTACCGTCCTTTGAGATTGTTTTAACCAAGTCGGGTCGGGGTTCTACTCCTACCCGTCTAAGATGTAGCTGCACAGATAGAGGTAAATTCTCCAAAGTTCATCACTTCAGCGAGAAAAGTGAAGCATTTGCCTTTTTTTCCAATCAAAGTAAAAAAGTATAAATCGGGTTGTGTTTGACGAGTTTCACCTGTAAATGCAAATTGACTTCATCAGGTCGTGAAAGAAACGGGAAATCTCCTCCAGTCTTTAAGTGAGCCCTTCTTGCTCCGGGATACCTCTCACTTAGTTCATCCTTCAGTTCTTGCGGGATTGCACAGTAATCGTTTGTCTTAGCAAAGGAAAGATCAAAGTCATTAGAAGATAACATTTGAGTGGAAGGTCCATCTAAGTTGTACATAGCATTGCATGAGAACACTATGATGCACTAGCAGAGAAAACCAAGACAATACCCAAACTTACATCCATTATGGTGATAAACGAATCGGAGAGTAGAAGAGATCCAACTGAAGCAGCATCAGCTGTCAAAGTTAAGCGAGACGCCAAATCATCTTTTGACAAAGTCTCAACCTGAGTGGCAATAATCAAATAACATTATTCTTGTTAAGATGTAACTCTAGTAAGTTCATGTTGAAGTCTTTGACGCGCTTTTTACGCCCATAAAGAGAATACCAAGGAGGAAAAAAAATTTCAGGCATGCACCTGAGAAACGACAAAGTCAACAGAGTCAGCAATAAATGGTTCATGGGGTCCATCACGAATTCCTGTTAAGACGTATCGTTTCAGCATAAAAGAAGGGGTCCAACTAACACTGCACAGTTCATTTTCCAAAGGCCAGAGTCAGTTTCTTCAAACAATACGAATCCTTGAGCAAATATCAAAACAAATATATTGAACTCTCAGGAAACATCCGGTGATATTGCATATGCAGTTCAAATACAGAAAAGGTAAAAAAAAGAGAGAAACAAGTAATATAAAAGAGAGAGAGAGTGACATACAAGGGCGCCCATGGCATAGAAGCAGCAAAGGTGCGTGTATCCATGTATGTGTTTGATAGAACCAACGATTTAACCCGCCTTGGACGGTGATGAGCAAATAGCTGTGCAAGAAACCCTCCAAGTGATGTACCATAGAGATGCACCTGTTGACAATTAACAACTAAAATCACTTGCACATCTTTTTTAATCTATTGTCAGTCAAGCATTTCAAACAAACGCAAAAAGCTCTAAAGAAAAACAAAAAGAAGATAGATGGCAATTTGCAACCCTATAGAGATCTCACGTGATGAACATCGATAGTGTCCAAGAACTTTTCAAATGCCTGTATCCACTCCTGATGATTCCAAACCCGTGGAATATCAACTGAAATTATGCGGTAACCCTGAAATTTGCAAATTACGTGTCGTGAGATCTCTCAAGGATAACAGAAAGAAGCCTATATGGAAGCATTTCAACCCCAGATAAGACTCTGTGAATTACAGCCAAACATAAAAATAAGAATGATTTTAGTCTCAAACAAACACAGCCGACCATCAAACTTCGGTTAATGGAAGTCCCTTTCTTGCCTTTTAAGACATTAAAGTGTGACTTCATCTATGAGGTGACAATAGAAAGAATCACATGCTCTATTTTCTTTCTCTGCAACATCAAAATTACAAATCAAGTCTCTGAAATCTATAGAGCACACTAAAAATTTCATGAAGAAATTTTAAACAAACAAATTCAGGGCTGAAAAGTAAGTCTCCAAGTACGACAGCACAGAGGCTAAACAGCCCCTGACATTTCGTTTGGACATAAAACCATGAAAACCATGCAGCTCATTTCAGTTCTTCTCATCCTCTGATAAACAACTGCAAGCAGCTATAGTTACGCTCTCATAACAAGTTCCAACCTCCAAGAGAAGCAAGTGTAGAGGAACATAGATGTTCAAGACATTAAACTGTCTTTACCTTCATAGATAAAGACATAATCTGTTTATAGTAAACATCAGCTGTCCCTGCGATTCCAGGAAGGCATATGAGTGGCGGAACAGCCTTTGGGCCATAGTCATAGTACCGCCATTGCTTCGTTCCAATCTGTGAAGAAAATATAAAGAAGAATAAAGCCACGATACCTTATTTTTCTGTGTAACTTCCATTGAAGACCAATAAACAAAATTCAAATCTTAAGCCGAGAAGAATGACAACAGATTTACACTGCATAATGATCTTCCCTACTAGAAGATAAACACCTAATAATAGTTACAGAGAGATATCTAGCATCTGGGTAGAAATCTCTTCTTGCCTCTATATACCTACTGGATCAAACACGATTATTTCCAGAAATATCATACTGGATAAATTTTTACTAGAAACTAATGGAATCCACCAAGAAATGTAACTCGAATCATCAGCAACTGTAGCCATTATTACAGTCAAGAACTAGGAAATGCCTAGGCCCTAAATCTATACAAGCGATCGATATTACCAAATCGTAACCCGTAATAAACAATCAAATAGATTCCCGAACGAGGGAAGGAGGGTTCGGCCAATCTTCCGAAACCCTCAAACATGGAAAACGCAGCTTCTTAAACCGTCTAAAATGGAGAAGGGAAAGTGCAGACCAAATGACGGAACTGCCCAAATCAAACCCTCGCAGAATTAGAATCAAATGAATCGAACCCATCAGAAATCGATCGAATATTAACAGATTCCAAAGCCCACAAAGCTCAAAATAAACCAAATTCAACAGGGGAAACGAATGTGGAATTGAAATTCAGGCAAAGTCAAAACAGAGAAGAGGAGACGTACGGGGATCTTGTGGAGAGGGACCTGAGACTTGAAGTAGACGTAATCTCCGGGCGCCGAGAAGACGCCTTTCATGGCCGATCGGAGCTGTTACACATCCGATCCTCGGATCGATCAATCAATTATTGATGTTTTGTGTTCTTTTGTTCTTCTCCGCTCCCCAGCGAAAAACAATTGTGCAATATTCTCAAAAAAAAATTTATTTTCCCTAAACTAAACGCCAATAATTAACGGCGTGATGACGGAGTATTACTTTAACACACAGTCAACCGTCACGCCGTGACTGCGGCTTACAAAGTCCTATCATGATCATGATCAGAGATAATTATCAATTAATAATGGTGCTACACATTACCAATTAAATTATTTTAATTTATCAATTTATGGATTTAATTTTTTTTAACAAATAATATAAACTATATTATTTAATTCAACGAGATTCAAATCACTTGTGATAGTATAAAGACAGGTCATTAAATCGAATAATAATTATAATATAAACTTTTTCATATAAAAAAACGATGGATAAAACCTAATTCAACTTTTTAATTATAGAATTTAACAATTAAATTTTATTATATCATTATCACAACTAATTATCGTTATAATAATCATTATCAACATCCTAAATTAAATTATTTTAATTTATTATTTACAATTTATCGATTTAAATTTTTTTTAACAAATAACATGAAATATATTGTGCAATTTAACAAAATTTAAATCACATATATATATCATTAAATCGAATAATCATTATAACATAATCCGTTTCATATAAAAACGATGGATTAAACCCATATTAACTTTTTAAATTCTATCATATCATTGTCATAACTAATTATCAGCTAATAATCATCGTCAACATCATAAATTAAATAATTTTAATTTAGGATTTACAATTTACCGATTTAGAAATTTTTAACAAAAAAAAAGATTATACTCTATAATTTAGTAAAATTCAAATCATTTGTGATAATATAAAGATAAGTCATTAAATCGAATAATCATTATATTGTTTCCATATAAAAAAACGATGGTAAACCTCATATCAACTTTTTTAATTATGGGATTTATCAATTAAGTGTTATCATATCATTGTCACATCTAATTATTAATGTAATAATCGTTGTCAATATCACAAATTAAATTATTGATTTAGATTTTTTCAACAAATAATATGAATTATATTCTACAATTCATCAAATTTAAATCACTTGTGCTAATACAATGCTAAATAATTAAATTAAATTATTATTATAATATATTTTATTTTATATAAAAAACGATTGGTCAAACTCATGTCAAAATTTTAATTAAGAGATTTACCAGTTAAGTTCAATCATATCATTGTCTCATATAATTATTAGTCTAATAATCGACGTAAATATCACAAATTAAATTATTTTAATTTAAAATTTATGATTTATCGATTTAGAATTTTTTAACAAATAATATAGACTATATTATGCAATTCTGCAAAATTTAAATCACTTATGCTAATATAAGGTCAGGTCATTAAATCGAATCATCATTATAATATACTATGTTACATATGAAAAACGATGGATAAAAACCATATCAAGTTTTAAATTATGAGATTTACCAATTAAATATTATCATATCATTGTCATACCTAATTATCAACATAATAATCGTCATCAACATAATAAATTAAATTATTTTAATTTAAGATTTACGATTTATCGATTTTGAGTTTTTCAACAAATAACATGGATTATATTCTGTAACTCAACATAACTCAAATCACTTGTGATAATATAAGGGTAGATTATTAAATCAAATTATCATTTTAATATAGTATGTTTTATATAAAAAACGATCGATAAAAATCACGTCAACTTTTTATTCATGGCATTTACGAGTGAAATTCTATCAAATCATTGTAATAACTACTTAACAATATAATACTCGTCGAAAACATCACAAATTAAATTATTTTAATTTAATATTTATGATTTATCCGTTTATAAGTTTTCTGCAAATAACATGGATTATATTATTCAGTTCAACAAAATTCAAATCACCTGTACTAATACAAAAATAGATAATTGAATCAAATCATCATTATAATATAATCTATTTCATATAAAAAATAGATAAAACCCAGGTCTATTTTTTAATTATGGAATTTACTAGTTTAATTCTATTATATCATTGTCACAACTAATTATCAATGTAATAAACATCGTCACCATCATAAATTAAATTATTTTAATTTAATATTTATGATTTATCGATTTATATTTTTTCAACAAATAACATGGAATATATTGTGCAATTCAACAAAATTCAAATCATTTGTTCTAATATAAAGGTATATCATTAAATTGAATCATCATTACAATATAGTCCGTTTTATATAAAAACAATGGATAAAATCGAGATCAACTTTTTATTTATGAGATTTACCAGGTAAATCTTATCATATCTATGTCACATCTAATTATCAGCCTAATAATCATTGTCAATATTACAAATTAAATTATTTAATTTAGTATTTATGATTTATCTATTTAGAATTTTTCAACAAATAATATGGACTATATTCTGCAATTCAGCAAAATTCAAGTCACTTATGCTAATATAAGGGCAAGTCATTACATCAAATTATCATTATAATATAGTTCGTTTCATATAAAAAACGATGAGTAAAACATAGATAAACTTTTTAATTATGAGATTTACCACCAGTTAAGTCTTATCATATAATTGCCACACATAATTATCAGCCTAATAATCGTCAACATCACAAATTAAATTATTTTAATTTAGGATTTATGATTTATAGATTTAGAATTTTTTTTAACAAATAACATGGACTATATTATGCAATTCAGAAAAATTCAAATCAAGCCATTGTGTTAGGTGTAAGAACAAATCATTAAATCGAACCATCATTATAATATAGTCCGATTTATATAAAAAACTATGGACAAAACTTAGGTCAACTTTTTAATTATGAGATTTACTTGTTATATAATTCACATCTACCACTAACTTTGCTTAGACGAGATTAATAATCTATGTCAACTAATTCAAACCGAAAATAAACCGGATATCAATGTGGATTGTATACTAAATCAGGATTGAATGACAAAACTAAGATATAACTTATTTTTTATTAATGTTGGACTCATGCATTCCTCTTTAGTACGTAGCATTAGTCGAATTTTGGAATATTATTTTTTTTCTTTTATTCGTCAGAGCATATAATTTGAAAACTATTTTCAAAATTGTGATTATTATAAAAATAAATTTGTCGTGAAGAATCTTAATTTTTTTTCTATTATAAAATAAATCATTTTACATAGGGATGAGCAAAATAACCGAACCCAAAATAATCGAACTGAACCGACCGATATATACCCGAACCAAACCGATTAAAATAATATATCTGATTGGATACAAATATTTCAAATTCGAAATACCCGTGACCGAATTAACCGAATAAAAAATAACCATAAATCGAATAAACTGAATCTAAATTAACCATAACTAAATATAACTGTTTATCCACCTATATATCATCAATTAATATGTAATATATTTTAAATCTAATTAGAAAAATTAGTTAATGTTATTATTTTATAACCTTAGTATATAACAAAATGAGGTATGCATGTATTTTAATTTAACCAGATTTATAATATTTATACTATCAAATTATGTTTTTATTATTTTTATCGGACAATTGATAAAAAAACAATTATCAATTTTTTGTTTGGATAAATCTGAACCGAACCCGATTCGATCTGGATCCGAATTCGAGCCAAGCCGATTAAAATAATATATTCAATTGAATATGAATATTTTAAATCTCAATTAACCGAATCTGACTAAACCGAACCGACCCAAACGGCCACCTGTAATTTTACATACGAGAGGTTAAAGTTGAAGAATCTCAATTTTTTCAAATAAAAACAAAATGCAATTTTATTCAAGTTATTAAAATCTTGTTTTCTTAATTATATGACACTTAGTTATATTTTAGTAAAAGTGGGGTTCACTCCCACATTTTTTAGTTTTTTAGTTTTTTTATAAACTTCTATCTTTTCGTTACAGTCAAAACCCTAAAACCGTTGAAACCGAACATTCTACTTTCATTTCAGGCGGCTTTCTCATGGCTTCTAACTCGAGACGTAATCAGAATTTCCATGATATGTTTTACAATAATTTTTTCGAAGGTTTAAGGATTTTGAATGTCTACTGTAAAACAACAAATTCGATCTCAATAATAAGAAAAATATTTTCTTTTAAATCCACAAGATAAATGTCAATTAGATGATTTCACATTTCTTCCAAAACCAATTCCGTAGATAAACAAATACCCAACAATTAGATTCTCGGATATATGATTTGCAGGTTTAATTGTATAGCCCTATTTACAATTGCTACTCCATAGAGAAATTGTGGAATACAATAGAACAAAATCCCATAAAATTGTAAAACAATAAAATCTTATAATAAGATACATAAACGGAATAAAACAAAACCAATATCAAACATTGCAAAAGCAATCTAACATTGTTACGATTAATTACTTTTGAAGGTCGACAATTAATGTATCTTTCTCTTGTAAACGTTTGAAGTTTTGGATTCTGAACTGTTCGGATAATTGGGATTGAGCTTTGAAACATCATTGTAGCACTGCTTCTCGTGTTTCATATTTCTCTTTCCATTCCGAACCCTACATATATCAATATCAATATTAAGTTAATCTATGACATATTTAAAGTATTATAGAGACAGAAAGGCAGGAAAGACCAAATCTACTATATTTAGAATACAAAATTACGGATTGAATGAGAATATTAATGCATAATAATTGATATAAGTAATTCTAGCAAAACATTTCATGGATTATAATGATTTTCCTAGTTCAGGACAACAACATCATTTAAAAAAAATGCATGCTAGATGCAATAGTTGTCCGAGCATCAGTCAAATGACAAGCTATAAATTCATTCTTAACATATCGTTTGTTGTTCCTTGTTCTTTCACACCCTGTAACTGCAACTCATATTTCCATCAATATATACATACATATATATGTATATATGAGTGTGTCGGCATGTGTGTTGTGTGTAAACATATACTCTCTGTAATTTAGTTTAAAAAAAAGTTTTTAATCGATTTGAAGTAGAGCACCATGATATAACTTTCTTAAACAACTATAGTTCTGATCGTGTACATCTTCTTAGGTGTTTTATTGAAGAAATAAAATAGCATTTTCCACTATGAGAAATCTCTCAAAACTCCTTGTTATTTAAAAAGAATATGAAATTTTAATACCTTGAATATGCAATAATACTAAAATAAATACATTTTAAAGATATTGAATATCGGAAATAAAATAGTGAAAATTAGTATAATTAAAGAAATGAATAAATACATTTGAAATTAAATTTTGCAATATCTTTTTTTTTTAAATGCCTCAGTCAAATCATTTAGATTGAAGAATGTAAATAGTCTTTTTAAACTAATATATAATACATGTATTAAATTAATTTAAGTTAATATATTAAATAAAGATGGAAGACAATGTATATAGTCTTTTTAAATTAATATATAATACATTTATAGGTTTTGAGTATAATTGTCTTTTTATTTGGCGGAATTCGATGATGATTTTCTTCTTGTGAGAAATAAAGCCTAACTGATTTTTATGGATAATATTAAGGCTTTACATAATTGCATTGGCATATATTAGGACGGACATTTCATTTACTTTTAGTTAGGATTAATCCATACAAATAAATATTATTCAAATAATTAATTACATATATTTTTTAAAATAATAATGAACTCAAGTTTGTCATTGATTCCATGACATTAAAAGCTCTTCCTCGGAAAGGATTACACACTTTTACCATTCCAAGATGTTTTTCTCTCATATTATTTTATATGTCATTTTAATCCATAGCCATTAGGTTGATTAATGTAAATCCGAATTGGTACGAGCAAAAATATCTTATTTGTCTCAAATTATAAGATAATATCATTCTTTTTTTAATCTTATTGAAATATATAATATCATTTTAATGAAATTTATAACATACTAAAATTTTCAAATGAAATATAAAATAACAATAATTCCCATATTTTATAATGATTTCTGTAAATCTTTTTTAAAAAATTTAGTTTCCGGAAAATCGGAATAACTCCCGCTCTCATATGACATTTCTCATTTAATATTATTCAAACCAATAATTTAAATAAAAAGGCTTTAAATGTACGTAATGTTGATTTAATTATTTAAATTTAAACTAATTTAAAATATACAAAGACACGTGTCACTCCCTTCTTCAACAACTATACTTACATAATATATATATATATATAATAAAATAAATCATTTTAGAGGGGTCAACCATGAAAAATCTCAATTTTTCAAATAAAAACAAATTTCAATTTATTAAAATCTTATTTTCTTAATTATCTAACACTTAACACAGTTACATTTTTACTAAAATGTGATCCACTCCCCCTTCATTTAGTTTTTTGTTTTTTATAATCCTCTACTTTTGTTAGAGTAGAATACATAAAACCCTTGAAGTCGAGGATTCTATTTTCATTTCAAGCAGTTTTCTCATGACTTCTAACTCGAGAAGTGATCGAAATTCCTCCGACATGTTTTACGGTAACTTTCCCGAAGGTTTAAGGGTTTTGGTCCTCGAAGATGATCTATCTTCTCTCCTGATGATGGAGGAGCAACTTCTAAGTTTCAAATACCAAGGTTCGTATACGTATAATTTTGATTTCGTTGTCCATATATACCAAAAATGTTAATTAGAAAAATACCCATTGAGGATAGTTTTGCTTCTATTGAGTTCAAATAATGACATACAATACGTAGTAAATGGAAGGCAAATGCATATGATAGCATCTCTTTGTCAAATTTAGGTCATAACTTACAAAAAAAAATGGTTTCAGTCACGAAATGCCATGAAGAAGAGGAGGCACTTTCTCTTCTAAGGAACAATCCCGAGAGCAGATTCGATATGGTCATCATCGACATCCATTACATATGCAAGTTTTGGTCACAAGATGGATCAAAGATTAATCTTCCTATAATCGGTAAGCAAGCAGAGTGTTTTCACCCTTCTGTTTATGAAAAAAACCCCACAAAATCTCGTTATTTTATGCAGTGATGTCCTCCGAATATTCGGTCGAATCGGTGGTCGAAGTCATGAAGAAAGGTGCCTGCGACTACATAACAAAACCGGTAGAGTTCGATACACTGAGGATGATATACAAGCATGTGGCCAAGACAATGGTGGATAATGCCGGGATCAGAAACTGTAACAAGAGGGTTGAGGAGGAAGAAGAAGACAATGCCTCGGCCTCGGCCTCGGCCTCGAAGAAGCGGAGAGTGGTGTGGTCCCCCGAGCTCCGAGAGAAATTCTTGGACGCTGTGAATCAACTCGGGCTTGACAGTGAGTGATCCACATTATAGAGTTCTTGGTTAATAATAAATGTGGGTTGGTTTTTAATATAATTAGGGTTTTAAGAGTTCGTTTAGGGTTTTTATTTTTATTTTTTTTGGATGGTAGAGGCGGTGCCAAAGAAAATATTGGAGATAATGAATGTTCCTCATCTCACGAGAGAAAACGTCGCCAGCCATCTCCAGGTAACATACCGAATCATGTGTATTAAATCTCATCAAACGAATTTTCCTTCTGTTTCTAAGGAAATAAATAACACACCAAATCTGCAACTTCTTGATCTTGTACAAATGGATTCTTTCCTAATCTTCTCCTTAGATATAGCAACTGCCTCTTGTATATATCCTACCCATTAAACACAATTCATACTATTCTCTTTAATATATGTACGATATATTTAATTGAAAATTTTCGACAAACTTATCGGTTTTTTATTAACGAGATTTTTGGAGATTTTGGCATTAGTTTTATCTTCATTCTGTTACGGTTTGTAGTTTTTAGTCTTGAGATTATCCACAAAAATCTCAACTGAAAAAAAAAAAAGTATCTTATCTTATAAAATAATCATTATAACTAATATTACAATGTGGTTACTGCAGTAAAAAGTAATTTTTTTTAAGGTTATGTTCCAAGCATAAGAAATACGCAATTCTTTGTCCTCATTTTTTTATGTGATTTTCATCAAAAGGAAAAAAAAAAGGTTACTCTAATGTATGTGTATATGGGTTGGCAGAAGTACCGTCAGCAACTGAAGAAGGATGAAGACGACCAAAAAGACATGGGAAGTTCCTATATAAATGCCCGACAAGGAGGAAGAAGTTTCTATTTTGGGAATAACGAATCCATATTCTCAGCTACACCGACACAAATCCACAGAGCACAAGCTGTCCAGTTCCCACACCATATGAACTTGGTCCTCGGCATGAACCCTCATATCTCTACGCGTTGCCATACCCAGAGCCATATCCCTAGCCCGAGCCCGAGCCCTAGCCCTAGCCATGCTCCAACCCAGCTCGTGCCGCCGCAGATGGGTCACTCTCTTATCTCTAATGGAGTCTCCGGCGCCATTTCCGGAAGAAACGGGATGTTGCATAGACACAGAATGTCCGAGTTCGCCTCCGATCTTGGAAACACAGAGGACGTAAGCGGTATCACATGCTGCGACAGGGAAGGGGCCGAAATGGTGATGGGCTTGATGAATCAGAACGAGATCAATGACGCGATCGAGGATTTAGTCCGAGGAAGACTGCCTGAGTGGAACCTCGAGGACATGGGATTGTCGCCTTTCTCCGAACCCTTGTTGTCTCCTCCCCAAGATCTGTCTCTTTTTCAGGCGAATTCTCCATCTGGCCATCCAAATCAATATACAGAGGTATGTCTGCAGTTCCTGATCTTGAGGAACTATGCATAACAATTTTTTTTTTAAAACGTGTCTGATCGATTAATTAACAATTTTTTGCAGCAAGAAGATGATGGGTTTGACAGAGATGCATGGAAGATTAAGATTAGGTGATTAAATTAACTCAAAACCTAGTTTTCTTACTATGAAACTATGCAATAAATATTGATCAATGATCAAGATGATGTAACATTGAACATCGAAGGTGTGTATGTCGCTGCAGGAGCTTCTAAGCGAGTAGATCGGGTTTGATGAACTCCGTCAAAGGTTGTAGGATCTAGGGTTTCTAGCTGAGCAGCGTTTCCTCAGTGTAACTTCTTTAAATTTCCTTGCTTGCGATACAAGTCATCTCAAGCTTTTTTGCAGAATCGGACTTATCATTTTCTGTAAAAACTTGCATCTTCTATCTCTGGTATGGCCGTGATATTTCTCTTAAATCCTCGAAATTATTTGGGGAATCTTTTATCCGCAGTATATTCTATCGGTGTTCAAAGTATACCACAAGCACCGAATTTAAAAGAATCAAATAGCCATATTTCGGATGTTGTTATACATTCGATTTGGACCGTGTCCATTTTGTTGCTAAGTATAATAATGGGGCAAATGCAAATTTAATGCCATGTCATGATTACAATACCAATGCCAAAATTAATGCCACATCATTTTTTGAGCAAGATCCTCAAACGGGTCCCTCTCAAAGTTTCTCTTTTTCACTTCGTGTAGCCGACAAGGAGAACTCTGCAGAGAGGGAGAGAGATAGAGCCAAAATACAGAAGAAAACAGAGTACTTCGGCCTGGAAATTCGTGGGTTTCTGTCAAAATTCTCTCTTTTATCTCGTTCTTTGTTTGTTCTTTGTAGTCAAGAACGAGAAAGTATTCTGCAGAAGCCGCACGTCCAGAAGTAACCAGCCAAGAAAACTCGGGTTTTTGTCAGAATTGCTTCTGTTCTAACAAAAAGGAAAGATTTTCATTTGGAACAGAGACATCGAGACAGAACACTGGAGAGCAACAGAGAATTCGAGCATCTATGGATGTTTCAGATGCCATGTCACTTGTCATTCTCTTGTTCTTTCTCTCTTCCCCGTCCCCGTCCCCTGTCCGGGGAAATGCCGAGCTGAAAGCCCTAATGGAATTCGAGCATCTATGGTTTTGTTCCTTTCTAGAACTGTAGGCATTCGATGCATCAGTACTGTGCATATGTTAGATTGATTCTGTTTTGTCCGGTCTTGAAAATGAAAAATATCAAGAGGGTCCTGAAGAATTTGATCGATCTTGGAAACTGTTAAGAGAACATTTACAAACTGAGGAGGAAATTTCAAACCTTTGTTCTGTTTCTCAAGCTGTAACTTGCTGGTTAAGTAAAAAACCCATCTTCTTGTGCCTGTCTTTAGTTAATCTTCGTGTCTGTCTTCAGTTGTGGATCTCTGCTGCAACCAGTTAACAGGGAAGATACCGGAACAAATGGGATCATTGAAGAAACTGAATGTACTGTCTCTGCAACACAACAATCTAACCGGCGAGATCCCTTCAAGTGTAGCCGGTTCGATTCCGAAAACCATAGCCGATATCCCTCAGCTGGATTCTCTGGACGTACGCAACAACAGCCTCTCTGGCATTCTTCCACCTGGTGATTTATTCAAACCGTTTTCCCGAAAATTTTCTTACAAGTTGTGTTCTTCCTCTTGTTTCTTGACTTGGGTTTCTTGATCTGTTCCATATGTGAAGGTCTTAAGAAGCTGAGTGGAAGATTCCAGTTCGAGAACAATCCCGGGCTGTGTGGGATTTGTTTCCCCCTACTGAGGGCTTGTTCGGGTTTTGACAATGTGAATATTGAACAACTCAATCAGCCTTCTCCGCAGGTTGTTTCGGATACGTCTGGTCTGCACAACATAACCAAAGCTGTTTACTTTCACGGGAATTGCAACCAAACCCATTGCCAGAAAACGTTGAAACTGCCACAAGTTGCTGTGATCTCCAGTGTGATTACAGTGGGTATAACGTGTAGAATTTCATAATGTATATGTTTAGAGAAGTTGAAGATTGTAAGATGAAGAAGACGAAGATGAATTGAAATGGTTTTCTTGTTCTTAAAAATATGTACGACATTTACATATATTTTATAGTAGAAAATGAGTACAAATAAAATAAAATAATATGGTAAGTGCATATCCTAACAACGACACAATATATATATGGTAAGAAATGGTGATTGCCTCTTTGATTGATTATAATATTTGAATGCTGATTTATAGGCGTTAGGATCATTCTTCATAGGTGATGTGGTAAGATGTTTTCCATATTTCTTCCTTCAAGTGTTTACAACGTCGGCTAGAATATCTCTTTGTGTTGGCAATCCATTTTTGTCCTTTGTATTTCAACATTCCCCTCAAGGTTAGCTTTGAAAGATGTTGAAAAGCTAATCTTGAAGATTGAGTGTCTTCATGATTGTATTGAATTAATGTCTTCAAGTATTCCATCCTCTTCCATATAGAGTCCATTGTTTTCAAAATTTTATTTTTCTGCATCAACTCAAGTAAAACGTTAAAGAACGTACCGGAGGCCATAACACTCCGCTTAATACCCAAAACCGAATATAACGCTGCAAGTATATGATTTCTATCAAATAAAAGCAAGAAAAGTGTTATAACATGCTTATTCTTTACTAGATGGGTTTTCATTTCAAACAAGCGAAATATCATTCTTTCGATCAAATATTTTATATTGGATTTGAAATATGTGAAATGATCACGAAAAATATGAAACTTATAATCAGTGGAATTATATGTATCATGCACATATTCATGCACATTATCTATTATGTGACGTTTTTTTATCAAGACGTGAATTCTCAAATGAACCGGGATCAAATATAAATAATGAAAATAAACAATTACCAAGACTAGGAGTATTAAAACTCATAGATAACGGTAATAAATTGTGTTCAGATATATCCTTTTCGGTAGAGAAGCATACGAGTGTACCATACCATTCCCCCTCACTTGTGAACTTCTCCACACTATGAGACTGCATGATTATTTGTTGGATTTTCGGTTCATAAATACTAAAAACACCAAGCATATCATTTGGAACACAAAAATCAAAAGATATGGGAGAATAGAAGAAACTACAAACTCGGTTTTCGCTCCATGTGAAAGAGACGTCTAGATTCTTTGTTAGGCCCGGATGAAGAATGATGTCAGATGAGTGTAATGCCTCTTTTTCGGGGTTCATTGCCTCCATTTTGGGATCATTCACCATTACATCCGTCTCTATTCCTTCTTTTTCCGAGTTTATGGCATCTAAGTCTCGGTCCTTCTCATGGTGTTTGTCTTCGGTTTGTAATCCTCCATCCATTTCATCCTCTTTAACATCTTGAGATAGATTTTCTTTACTTTTAACCTGTGCTTTTTGCATCATTTCAAAAAACTCATTAGAGTTAAACAAATCTTCAAGGATGGAGACACTTAACTCAAAGTTGTTTGTATTGGCCGTTTGCACCAACGCCCCTTTGATTTGTAGAGGGAATTGATTTAGGATTTCCTCTACATCCGATTCTCCATCGTATTGTTCTTCCCCATATGGTTCGTCATCTACACACATGGCTTGAACTTCTTCTATAGAGAGTTTATTCCATGCGTCAACCTCTTTCTTGGTACACCAAAATTGTTCTACAACACCGTTAGCATGTTCGATGTATGAACAATGATTTCCTTCTTCATCTTCAAAGCCTCCAAAATCATCCCAAGTACCCCTCATGTGATCTTTTAGGGATGTATATGGCAGATGAAAAAGAAAAAAAAACTCGAATTCTCCTTGGTTTGTATATGACCGAGGGTTTTGTGCAGCGGAATTAAAAGAAAATTGGAACAGAGGGGTTCATGGACCTTTACGCTCTGATACCATGTAGAATTTCATAATGTATATGTTTAGAGAAGTTGAAGATTGTAAGATGAAGAAGACGAAGATGAATTGAAATGGTTTTCTTGTTCTTAAAAATATGTATGACATTTACATATATTTTATAGTAGAAAATGAGTACAAATAAAATAAAATAATATGGTAAGTGCATATCCTAACAACGGCACAATATATATATGGTAAAAAATGGTGATTGCCTCTTTGATTGATTATAATATTTGAATGCTGATTTATAGGCGTTAGGATCATTCTTCATAGGTGATGTGGCAAGATGTTTTCCATATTTCTTCCTTCAAGTGTTTACAACATCGGCTAGAATATCTCTTTGTGTTGGCAATCCATTTTTGTCCCTTTGTATTTCAACATAACGTTGGTGGGAGCTGGTTTCTTGACATTCTTTCGCTACAGAAGAAGGATACAGAAGATGGGTGATGTGACGAAGTTGTCTGAAGGAAGGCTAAGCTCGCCAGTAAACGGTGCTTCACCTCTGATCTGTCTGGCATATTCCAAAGAATGGGATCCGCTCGGCGACAGCAGGA